GGGTCCGGACATTTTTGCACACTGGGGACCGGTCCTGTCTCTTATACACATCTAGATGTGTATAAGAGACAGCTCCCCCCCCTTTTTTTTTTTTTTTTTTTTTTTTGGGGTCCGGACTTTTGCACCCCCCGGGACCGGTCCAGACTGTCCGGTGTCCGGTGATGTCCGGATCACCGGACAGTCCGGAAGTGTCTGGTGTCCGGGTCCGGGGTTACCATGCATAGGAGGCTCGAAGTTGCTCCCAAACAGAGAAATAATAAAAAAAATAGTCTTAAAAAGCTAAAAAAAATCAAAACCTAAAATAAAATTTAACTTTTAATTATTTTATCATTGAAGTGAAAAACCCTCCAAAAAAAAGGTCTTCGCCTTGTGATGCACATCCCTGCAAAGAAATGACAGGTCAACTGGTGAGGTCGTCAAACTGGAGGAGATTCATGGAGAAAAATTCTGAAAAAAAACTCCAAAAACATGTCTTCCCATTGCAATGCACATCTATAGAAAGAAATGAAAGCTGAACTGTTGAAGTTATTCAAATCGATTTCACAATATGTGTGTGACTACTGCGGCATTGGAAAAAAAAGAAAAAAAGAAAAAAAACGCAACAGACTCAACGAAACGGACTGAACAGAGGCTTGCTTACACAGCTTGCATTGTTAACGATCGCCACCTCCTGTACAGCCTCTGCATCAGCCTTCGGAAGTACAATTCTTGGGCACGGCTGACCTTGAACAAACGGTCCTTGGCCATTTGAGTCACTGCGGCCCACTCCCTCAGGACCTTGCTCCTTCACTTGGGAATCACAATCGCACGTATTGACACACTTCAAGTTAGTAAAAGTTGTCAGTGACTTTAAACTTTAGACGTTAAAACTTAAAACTCTTTCCTTCTAGTGCTCATCACCCTGTGCTACAGGTCTCTTCCCGATCTTACTCACGATCGGTCATGGAAGTACAGAAGAAGATGAAGAAGATAAACAAAGGTACCAAGATTTTACCGGACCAAAAATCTGCAACTAAAACCAAAACAGCACAAATAGCACAGCAGCTAAGTGGATCTGCACAGCAAATAGCACAGCAAATAGCACAGCAAATAGCATAGCAAATAGCACAGCAAATAGCACAGCAAATAACACAGCAAATAGCATAGCAAATAGCATAGCAAATAGCACAGCAAATAGCACAGTGAATAGCACAGTGAATAGCACAGTGAATAGCACAGTGAATAGCACAGTGAATAGCACAGGAAGACAAAGAAACCGGGAGATGGTTAACGAAGGCCTGAATTTTCAGTGTTTTTTTTTAGTTATAAGAAACCCAAAGGCCTGGATTTTAACCAAACTTGCCACCAATCATTACTGTTGGGGCAAGCCCGTCCCCTCCTCCCCCCACATGTATATGGGGTTTAGTGACAGGTGCTTCGGACACCCATATGACTGTTTTACGTGTTGTCACACCTGGAACTCGAAATTTTGAAATTGCGAGACAAGTCTAAACGCCAGTGTGCGTTGGCAAAACGAAAATAAAACAACTTTGCATATGCCAATGAAAACGCGGGAAAGTGGGATATGGGGTTGGAAGGAGTGTCATTCATTCCCAGGAACCACTCTAGTGTTCTGGTTTGTATATGTCGTTTGGGGAAGTGTTCTAGTGTGCATGCTTTGTGTTATTTTGTGTTTGGCGAGTTTGGGATTGCTGGCCAGGGCCTCTGGTCCCTGTGCCTGCCCTGCCTTTCAGAGTGAGAGCTTTTGATCCCTGCTACGCTGAGCTGGGTAATGCTCCCAGTAATCCACGTTGGACGTGAGGTCCCCGGCCTCATTCAATGCTTTGGAATATGAAGTCATTGTTTTTGCTGGGGGGAAAAAAAAGGAAGAAATGCAAGAAAGGAAAAGGGGACTAACAGGCAACCGCCCAAGTGAATGCCGAAAAGAGGAAGTGGAACATGGGTGAGAAAATCACACAGGCAATCACGAGCATGATCCACAGAAACAAGTCCAAAGAAACGACAATACCCACTTGGCGGGATTTCAATTAGGAAAAATTAACATCATAGTCCACCGCCTTCCCACCCTCGTTCCGACCAACCCAATGAACCGCCATCTCTCCAAGCAAAACCCGAAGCTGCTGCCGACGAACGGCACAGAGCGTCGGTTGTCGGCAGCTGCTAGAAAGCACGTACTGCTGAAAAAGGAGGACTAGTCTGTAGTAAGAATCCTATAAGTAGTCTAGCACATCTCAACTATTGCCGCTGCCAACTTCCAATACTCCTCTCGCGTCTGCGAAAAATTGCGGAAGGCCCCTGCTAAAACTTCGTTGGGGTACCCCTTTGCACAGTATTCCCATCGAAGCGTCAAAACCTGCTTGGGGATATTCTCCCGAAAAGTGGTATTCCGGCCTATTCGGTGGAACCAACCGGTAATCCCGGCCAACTTCTGCTTACGACTGCACCAGGACAGAAAATCCTGCCCCATTCTGAAAATGAACTTCCCCACTTTTCCACATCGTTGACTCATTCTTAATTTGCGGCACACCTCCCAGGAATGGATAGGATCGAACTTCCATCCTACAGCCTAAAAAAGCCCAGGTCCCGGTCTTGTCATCTGTCCTTTTCAGGGTCAGCGTCCTAGGGTAGCATTTCTTAAAATTCCTACGAATCCTATTGGCCTTCTTAATAGAGTGCTGGTCCCCCTTCCGATAGGCCAAAAACAAGGAGACACCATCCATCAACCTAACTCCTTCTAGCCTCCTATCTTTGCCCAAAGTCGTCAGAAACCACCACTCGGCATGTGCACACATGATGCATGCCAATGGCGGACTAGTACTCTTTCCCATCGGAATGCCAACCACCTGACGAAGCAAGATATCTGACGCTTGAGTATAAGTGTGCGAGAGCTCAAAATGTACAAAACAACGGATATCAGATACTCCCACAGCCCACCAGCCTTCTCCCACCTTTCTCCCCAACGAAGCCCTCTTTCCTCTCCGGTTCACTTTTCCAACATCCCTTGGATCGTAGCAGCTGATTAACCAATCAAGAGCCCTACCGATTTCCTCACATGACAAGCGACTAAACATCGCCTTAATATCATCTGACGCTGCCATGACCCGGCCGTTTGCATACACTCGCTTCATCGGAGCATTAGTTGCAGCTAGTCTACCAGCCAGGTCTCCAACTGCTCGGAGATTGAAATGACACTTCGAGAAATTCCGAGCAGGAGAAAGATCAGCGCTCTCGAAATCGTTATACAGATGTTGATCGTGGGTTCGCTGAAGAAAGGACATATGGGTCGAAAGCGTGCCAAATCCTTGTGCTTACGCAATACATATTATATACTGAGTACTGATCCGGGCCGCCCGGCCGCCCGGCGCCCGCCCGGGGGAGGTCCCGGGCGGACTGGCCGGGCGGGCGGCCCGGTTGGGGGCCGGGCACCCCCAGCACACCTTGTTGGCGGGGGTTTTCCAACCCCACATCGGGTGGTTTTGGCCTCCCCAGGGCCTACCGGGTCCGACCACGCCGAGAAAACGGCGCGTCGGGCCTGTGCGGCCTGTTTTTTTTTTCTGAATTTGGGATGGCCCTCTGGCTGTCGATCATCCATTTTTGGAGGGAAAGAGGGCCGTTCGTTTTTGGAGGGAAACGGAGGCCCCGTTTGAACTAGCGACTGGCTGGGGCGGCCTGCATTGGCTGTCCAAAGGGGGCCTCGATAGCTGCTCCAGCCGCCTGCGTTCGTGCTGCTGCCCCTCGTCGAAGTAGCTGCCCTCGTCGCCATTGCCTGGGAGCTTCACTCGCCTGTCGTCGTCGTGTCGCCCGTCACCCGTCGCCAGCGTCGTCGATCGTGGTGCTCCTGCCTGCCGACATCCCCTGCTGCCCGTCGACGTGGAGTGCCGGTCTTCTTCTTCTTCTTCTTCTTCTTCCCTCCTCCTCCTCCTCCGCTCATTCTTTTGCTTCTTCTTCTCTCGTCCTCCTCCTCCCTCTCTCTTCTTCTTCTTCTTCTTCTTCTTCCTCTTATACTTCTTCTGCTTTTCTTCTTCCACGACTTCTTCACTCTTCCTCCCCTCCCCTTCTCATCTTATTCTTCTTCTTCGTCTTCATCTCTCGTCGTCGTCCTCCCCCTCATCTTCTTCTTCTTATTCTTCTCTCCTCCTCCTCCTCTTCCAACTATCTTCTTTTTCTTCTTTTTTTTTTTACATTCGTTAGCGACAGGTCGTGAGATAAACGACAGGTAAGGGGGAAAAAAAAAAACTGCTCCGCTCGTCATCTTCTTCTTCTTCTTCTTCTTCTTCTTCTTCTTCTTCTTCTTCTTCTTCTTCTCTCCTGCTCCTTCTCCGGTCATTCTTCCGCCTCTTGTCTCCTCCTCCTCCTCCCCCCCCTCTCATCATCTTCTTCTTCTTCTTCTTCTTCTTCTTCTTCTTCTTCTTCTTCTTCTTCTTCTTCTTCT